GAAACCAAAGTTTCATAGAACAATACTGACCCCTACTTAAGAGGGATGAACTCCGATTTTTAAATTTTATTCTATTAATTTTACTCCTTTCTATCTAAAATATGTGAATTGATACTCATTAAATCAGTTACTCAACCTGGTACTTTGTCTGAATTGTGTTTGAAAAGCACCTCTTTTGGGGTCCTCATGATGGGATTAATTCCCTAAGAGGAAGAGCCACCAGAGCTCTCCCTCTCTCTCTGCCATGTGAGAACACAGAGAGAAAGCAGCCATCTACAAGCCAGGAAGAGGGCCCTAACCAGAACTTAACCATGCCAGTGCCCTGATGTTGGATTTTCAGCCTCCTGAACCGTAAGAAACAAATTTCTGTTGTTTAAGTCCCCTCTCCCACCCCCCCAACCCCCAAAAGAAAGAAAACTGCCTTTCTGAGCATGTTTATATCACTAGACCAAACACATGACACATGACAGGTATTTAATAAAGATTTGCTGAATTAATAAAAGTTCTCAGGGAAATAACATATATATAAAATTTTTATATATCCAGAGCAGTAGGCAGTCATCACTGGGCAAAAGTAAAATATCAAGATTCACTTTCATGCTCTTTAGACAACAATCAAAATACAAAGACTAAAAACTACATATAAAACTCAATTCAAATTAAGGCAACAGGAGGAAATACACTGAAGTTTTCCTTTTCTTAGAATTAGGGATCCTTAGATTACCTTTCTATTTCAGATGTCTCTAAAAATATGATACAATTTATTCAAGCTTGTGCTACTAATTGTGCTACTAAGATTGCATTCTTTCCTCTTCCTTTGGAATTAATCAGTGGGCCAAGATTTTGAGAGAAACACTGAAGAAGCTACTTTCCCAATTTCAATAATGTATTAGAAGTCAAAGATATCTTAATTTATAGGTGTACTGAGATGCACAATATAAAGTTTATCAAACTTGTTTCTCTGGAAATGTTTTACTTAATAAATGAAAATTTTTATAATGGAGGGGTTGGGAGGAGACATGAGTAAGACATATGAAATTAGAGAAGGTAGTGAGTTGAAAGATATGGCCTAAGACATGACCCAGATCACAGATGAAGGAATCTCAAATATTAATTGCTCCTTAGACCCTCTTGCTGAGAAAAAGATCTTAATTACATCACTTTTATGACCATCTTTCCCTGGTACACCTTCTTTACAAGCTGGTATTACAATGATCTCTCAGGGGTACTTAGAGAACCACTTAAGATTTGTGAAACTCTTGTGAAATATTTACAAAGATGTAGAGTCTTTGCATTTTCAGTTAGTTACCCAGGGTTTTATGTTAGAACTTTGAACCATGAACATTTTTATCAACTCTCTTAGGCACACAGCAGGGAATATTTTGGACAGAAGAATAATCTGATTCAATTATACATATAGTCCTTCATTTTAAACATAAATTTGCAATTTAAAAATTCCCAAACTTTCATCCCTCAGGGCTCTATATGGCATTCTATAGAAATACATTGCCTTAAAAATTCTGGCTAGCCTATCAGAAATAACAATATTTATAAGAAAAATACCCCTCATCCAAAGTACAAGGACAACTGCAATGTTCTTGATTTTATTAAGGAAAGTAAATAACTTTTTTTCTAACATAAGAGGAAATTCTAATGTCTTTTGGAGTGGAATTAATTAAGTTAGTTCCATTCAGAAAGCACATGCTTCATAATATATGTATGCTTCTAAAACTCATGAATTATGATTATTGATGGGAGAATTAAATGTCCTATGAAGTGGCTAATAAACGAAAGTGATAACTAGTCTAGCAAGAGCCAGAGTCTTCATAAATAAAACAACTGATTGACAGTCACAGAGAAAAACACATTTTGTGAAGGTTTTCACCTTCTCTCTCCCTCCATTCAGTAGCATTTGTATAAAGTAAAGAACCACGGCTTTTGGGTAGACAGATATATCAAAATCTATTGGGAGGGATGTTGTATTGGCTAGGCATTTGGAGTTTTCTTTTTTTAATATATGAGAACTGTGCTTACTATACAGCATGAATCAATGAATACAATGCTACCAGCTACTTCAAATGAAGTAATAAGGCATACCATTACACTTTTTTCCATCATACATATGACAGAAATTTTCTTTGGTTCAAAATAAAAATTCATACTTGGAGGGAAATAAAGCAAACACTTCCATAGAGCTGACATATGGAAATTGCATGTAATCTCCTAAGGTATGTTGTTTTATTTAGTTTCAAGTTTGGCATTTCCATTCGTTGCTTTTAAATCTCAGTGTCTTGACTCAATTTTATCAGTTGAAATGTGCCATTAACAAAAATCAATAGTTTCAGAAGTTTACAGTTTTTACCATGACATCTCTAAATCTTTCATCAAAGGACCGTTAGTCCACCATCAAACTAAAAATCAGAGTTAGCTATAAATGTCATTCCTATCCATAAAATGTAGTTTAAACCTCAGGCAACTGGAACTTATAGAAAACACAATATTAACTTAGAGGGGAGGGGAAACATGTCTCTATTTTAAAATAATTTTGGAATCTTAGTTAATCCTCCTACAGTTAAGGAGAAAGTGATATGTCAAGGTTTTCAGGAGCTCTAAAAGCTTTTATATGGCTTTTAAGAATAAATATAGTTTATCACTTTGGGGCTGTGGCAGTAAAAAGTCCCTGCCTTATTCTCAAGCTCTCTCTTTTTCTGCCTCCAGCACCCTGAAGGTTAGGCATAACATGTGCCATCACTTAAAGACAGAGGAGGATAGCCTGATCGACACTGAAGTTTATGTGAGCATCAAATACAGTTTGGTTTGGTTAAGACACTGAGAAAAAAAAAAAGGAATACAGTTTTTGAGGAATATGGCATAAGTTAAGACATTTTCTTAAAATAATTTCCAACTGTTTTTGAAACAGAGGTCAGAAATCTAAACACAAAATGTAGATTATTCTGTTCTTTCATCGTAAATATAGGTAGGAAACACAGCATTTGTTTTTTTTCATGATTCAGAATCTTCCAGTTTCTCAGAATTAGGAGTTTATATACAAATTTTCATTGTATAGTACTGCAGATATAATTACAAAACATATAGGAGATAATCAGTGTATCTTTGCCCTTACCCAGACTTACTATTTTAAGGAATGTTTTATGAAATCCTGACATTAAATTCGTTTTAGTTACTAGGTTGTTCTTTATTTTCAAAGTAATCTGCTAAAACATCCACTTAATTAAAGTTTTATTATTTATCTACCATAGCTGATGAGAAAAATGTGAGCCCATATATTTAGTAAAATTTTAGGTGGCTTTATGGGCATTTACAAGGTGAAATAAAATTTTATTTACGAAATAGCATAAGCCAAATAATTTACAGCAGTACATTGTCAGATCATACATCTAGCAGTGAGCAAAAATCTCTACATTTGCATTGCCTTTACATTCTGTCACAAGCCATGGGAGATATCTACAAAGGTAAAGTCTAGTATTGTTCTAAACTAATTACTTCTAAATGATCAAACTAATTCAACACACATTGTGGAGGTGAAAGGGGGATCAGAGAAAGATGAAAGCAAGAATGATGAATTCAGAAGCTATAAATTGCCACCATCACCTATTCTGCACAAGAGCAGCAAAGTAGATCAAATATCATATCAAAATAGAAAAAAAGGAAGAAGAGAACAACAAAGAGGAGGGGAACAGAAGTATCTTTGTTTATTTGTGATTTAATTTTGAAATTACTTTTCAACCTAGGATATACTACTGTGGATTTATTGAATTGTGTTCCCCCAAGGTTCATTTATTGGAAGCTTAATCTCCACTGTTACTGTTGAGGGTGGGAAATCCTATAATGATAATTAAAAAGTGGGGCCTTGAAGAGATTGTAGGACCATGCCGCAGTGAATGGATTAATAATGGTGGTCAGGGAAGTAGTTCTGAAGGCTTTAAAATTTGCAATGTGATACCCTGCTGTCACTGTTGCCACCACCAAGGCCTTCACCAGCTGTGTTCCCTGGACTTTGGTCTTTCCAGCCTCAGAAACTGTAAGCAATAAATTTTATTTTCTTATAAATTACCCAGTTCCGTGTATTTTGTTGTAAGCAACAGAAACAGACTAATACATATACTATCACTTTTTTTCATCATAACTTAAAAGTACAAAAAAAATGGAGTTAGTCTTAAAAATTGATCATATTACTCTACTACTCCAAATTATATCAGAGATACTAGTAAAGTTCTTATATAAAGTCAGAAAAACTAGCTACACATAATAAAACTCTATAATAGTTCAGGAAAATTATATCAGGTATTGAAGATAAACTTTAGGAGCCTCACTGAACTGCAGAACTTGATTCTCACTAAGACTCTATTTAAACAAAACTACCCTAAACTCTGTTTTTGCTGTTTATATATTTGGAACTTTACAGCAATAATTTTTATTTCTAGGAAAAACAATTCTCTGAAAATTGTATGATCATTAACTATGACAAATTTAGCCATCTCATTTTTATTTTCACAGATCATATTAGGAAGAAAGCTACAAAATGCCAGATTAACATTTCAAAACGTATTTGAAAGTAATGAAGGGAAACCGATTCAGTTAGCAACGCTAAATAAAACAGACAATTCATACAGATGCTTTCCCTGTAAAATATTAAATGAACACTTAAAAAAGTCAACTTTTTCAATTTAACAAACCAATTCCTAACTTATTTCTCTGTTTGAGCAAAGTTTCTCCTTGACTGAAGTTCTGGTTTTATATGCAAGTTTTTTTTTTCTGGTCAAAAACATCCACTTTTTATAAGATGGGGGTGTTAAATGGAATTTTAAATGAATTTTCCTTCTCCCTTGGCCTCTCTCCTTCTTGCTCAAATGCAGACATATATCAGGTTGTAAAACACAACTATTTTATTTTGTCCCCAACTTATCAGTTACCAGTACAAATACTGAAACTTGTTCAATTGGATTCACAGAGTGCTAAAGCGGAAACGCTTGACTTACTTGCCATTGTTTCATCAGCTCCCTTACTCCCTTGGAGTCTTCTAGGAGTTTCTCCTTATGGGTAGCATCCTGTAGGACGTTGGCAGTTGTTTCAGCTTCTGTAAGCCAGGCAAGAAACTTTTCCAGGTCCAGGGGGAACTGTTGCAGTAGTCTATGAGTTTCTTCCAAAGCAGCCTCTCGCTCGCTCACTCTGCAAAGGAACAAATATCCAGATGCAATTCTCAAATATCAGAATGGTGCACCCAGCGAACTCCATGAAAACAGCAAAGAAAGAAGGACTGAATTGCAATATGCCAACTAAGGGGTGTGTTGTTGCTAAAGTTCTTCCTTTAAGCAACAATGACTAGAATATTGCACAGTCTGTTTACCTTCATTTCTATTTAACATAAGGGCTTCTGAATGGGGGGAGACAGGCAAGAGTATCTATTTAAAAAAATGGTAATAGAATATTTCTACAAATCTCTTTCACAAAAAAAGAGTAATAGATATGAAACTTTGGATGTTTGAAAGTTCATATACGGACATTCAAAAATATTTTTTTAACATTATAGATTTTTTCTGGTCAATTTCTTAAGTTTATTCCAATATATGCTGCAAAAGTGGAAGGTGATCTTTATAGTAAAACCCTAAAATCCCTACACTATGCCTATCTTTGATGTCACCCTGAAGCAGGAAAGAAGGATTAGATAGGCAAGAAAGAAATTCAAGAAAATACCATCCTAGAGTCAAAAGTGAACACTGGAGGGGGGGGGGGAAGAAGGGAATTGGAGGGCAAAGGGAAAAATACAAACAAGTAGAAAAATAACATTTCATAGAAACCATTGTGCAAAATACCATTTTGCATGACACTGGTTTGTTATAACTATTGTGTTAGCTTTATACTTCATTGCTTGAAGGTCATACAACTTAGTATATTGTCCAAAAGAAAAATGTTATGTGTAATGGAAAAAGTAGAGTCTTGAAAACCAGAGAGATCCCAATGTCCCTTAGCAGTTGTATGATATGGCAAGTTACTGACCTCTGATTCCTCAGCTTCTCATCTGCAAGACCTATTGCTGCGATGAGAATTAAAAGACAATAACACAGCATGTAAAGCTGAGTGTCTTACACATTATAGTCACACATTAGAGTTATTCAAAAATATTAGTTCCTTCTGCCTGCATCCCATTTTCCCACTCTTCCAGTCTTAAAAGGATGAAACAAATTCCCTAAAGACACAAAAATCTAAAAAAAAAAAAAATTCTGATAATATATATAATGCATGTATTGTGGACACACACACATATGCCCTCAGCAAACGCCTACATAATAATAGCTTGGGAGGGAAAATTGCCTTAGGCAGTAACAGTCCCATCTAAAAAGATTCAGGTAAATTTTGTGTGCAATGAAGAAATTAGTACTCTATTTAAATGCCTTATTTGCCTTCTATTACTACACAAACACTTTCTGGGATTAAACATAAGCTAAAAATGGATTTTAAAAAATTGAACATTTGAATATGATACACACTGCTTGTTAAGACATGATTGTCAATAATTATGCAAAACTGCAATTTATTTCAGCAGCAACTTTATCATGGGATGTGCAAACCAGGCAATAAACAACTCCTGCCAAGCCAGCGGCAGCAAAGCCCCCGGAAGAGCTGTTTATTCATCATGGGTGAGGTTTTTGCTGAGCACACAGTCTTCCACAGTGTAGTTTTGGCGCTTGTACTGGATAAAAATCTTCTGTCTGCATTAACTGGTGGAGGGTAGAATAGGTTTATGAGGATGCGGCTATTTGAAAAAAAGTAAGCATTGCACTAAGCTATTTATCAACTCCTAAATAAACTTTAATACTGCACAGCTGAAAGGTAGCATAGTGTTCTGGTTGGAAAAATAAGTTAAACCTTGTGTAGTTCAAGGGTTAACGTGGACTGCTGGCTCCCTGCTCATCTGATTTTCAGGCAAACTATCAACACGAAGAGAGATATTTAAATCGTCATTTATTTATTTATTTATCTTTTTATTTATTATGATTAAAACATTTGGAATCATTGCCAACAACCCCAAGAATCTTAATGTTACAATCAGGACTGCAACATACAGGTTGAAACATGTGTAATTACTGACAATTAATCGTTTCTGACTTATAAGAGTGGCGATTTCATCCAGTTAGTGCTAAGACTTACTTCACCTCCAGCCCCAAATTTGGGATAGGATAAGCTGTCACATTCCAGAAGCCAAATGCAGGGTTAGACATTGATATATATTCTAACATACTCCAATTTCGAACGAAATGAAAGGACAACACGAAACTCTCCCATGGTAGAGTGAAACTTAGAGAATTAGGTATTATGCATTTTATTAATCTTCCTGATGAACTACATTCGCTGCATCTTAGCTCTTGTGTCCTTAAACTAGAAACACCACTTACCCTCTGCTTCCAGAGAAAGTAACTAGTAAATAACTTTCCAAGAGTTATTTGCAAAATGTGATGCACATAAATCAGATGAAAAGTTCTACCCAGACAATGAGATTTTCAGCCAAATCCTACCAGTGAGTTTGCTGCTTTGTAAATTAGGCCCTCAGGGAAGAACCATAACTCTTTCAGGACAGTAAGACACCATTTTCCTAAACGATACCCTTGTGATCTGAAATATTGACAACATCAGGCTGAAATTTTCTAATTTGAAAAATACATTAAAAAATTCAGTGGCAACAACATCAGAAAATCTCTTTAAATGACCTCCTGTACAAGCCTCTTTGATCATAGGTGAGATTGTTGTTTCCTGCTTGTTGTGGGGGTTTTAAGGCTACAGCCTTTCTCCTGGGATCAATGCATGCACATTGAATTCCTAAATTTTATTTGTGCCAAGTCTAGTCTAGAAATGAGTCAAGGGTACTTAATTTCCATATTTGTGTGTTCAAAATAGCTCTAAATGTATCCAATAGTTTTTAATTTTCTTTACCCATATGGCTTTAAATGGCTTACATGATAAATAAAAATATAAAAATAATGAGAATCAAATAAATAAACTATTGGCTTAGAACAAAACTATAGATCTTGAACATGGACTATTTTTTTTTTTAAATTTCTTTGTCTAGGTTATCAAACTATAGACCCTGGAGAAAATTTGGGTGAATTTTAAAAGTAACAATTATCAGATATTAGTAATAGTAATAATGCTTTACAAATAAGATCTACTATATTGGTTAAGTACTTTTTTATATAACAAGGTTTAATAATCAGCTATTCCAGATTTATGATATACAGAAATAGCTGGGAATTTGATGGAGTAAGAAATAGTATGGTGATTTCAAAAGGTTTTCATTCTATTCATAGAGGTACCTTGTACCATTCTCAGTATGTAAATAAGTAACTAGTTTCCCTTCCTTTTCACTTTTGCTATTTATATATTGGATTGGCCCATAACAAATCGGTTTTCAAAGTGTGGTCCATGGACCAGCAGCACCAGCATGATCTGAGAATTCATTAGAAATGCAATTTCTCAGGCCTCAAGCTAGACCTACTAAATCAGAAACTCTGGATGAAGTCCAGCCAGCTGTGTTTTAACAAGCCTTCTAGGCATTTCTAATATATGCTAAAGTTTGAGAATCACTGCTACTGAGGACCAAACTTTGAGAACTACTGATATAGCATGTGTTTGACATCTCCATTTTTTTTTAAAAAAGGAACTGATTATTAATGAGGCAATTAGATAAGTATACTCTGATCTGTCATTAGACACACACACACACACACACACACACATCATGGTATCTCTGAATAAATCTCCAAGACTCCAGATTTTCTATTAAGTTGAATATCACCGATTTGTTATGGGCCAATCCAATATATAAATAGCAAAAGTGAAAAGGAAGGGAAAACTAGTTACTTTCCCAAATAAAGCTGAGGAACTTAATTAATGTACAGACAATATTCCACTATTAGATATATGAATGAAAAACACTTCATTAGTGCATTGTATCACAGGATTATGTGTGTGTGTTTATAACCAAACAAAAGAAATAAACACATTGAACATTTTTAGGAAAAAAAGGCTGAATCTGATATGGAAGGTTATTTTACCCAGGTGTTTCTGTAGGTGTGACAAATTGGGAAAATTCATAGCACTCAGTGTCCTGCTACATAACACTTCCATCTGTGCCATGGTATTGTCATGGAGTATCCACATAAAATACTCTGAATCTTTTCTTCCTGGTTTACTTGCATTTTTAACCACTACCATTTCCTCTGATATATTTAGGGGAAGGATTACAGGATCATGATTTTGTTTCTTTATGTGTGTAAGGTATAAGTCAAAAAGAACGGCCACCTTAATAGCATCTGGATTTAAGACCAAAAAGTTTCTTGCAAAGTTAACCACTACTCACAGAACCAGAGTCAACCAGAAGTTAAAATTCTCTGTAACCATAACAGTCCCTACTAGTTTGTTAGTAAATAACGTACATTTTGATGTTTAAAAAAATAATAACTTTATATTGTACTATATTTGCAAGGGGCAGCTAGAAATTTGTTACCTATGGATATACAGCACTTTGTAGAAAGGATTCCTTTTCATCTCTAGCAATTGTATTAATAATTAGCACTAATGAAAAGCATTAACCTAAGCAAAAACTATCAATAATGCCTGGACTAGTATTCCATTAGATCCCTTCCTAGTGACAACTCTAAGACTGTGGCTTTATCTGTCTTTGGGCAACACCTACCTAGAAATATGACTACAGAAGGATTGTGGCAATGAGAGGATGTTTTTCATTTCTCCTCTGTTATCCACCTGTAAAGTGAGTACGCTCTCTCCTTTAAATTTAAATATTGACACTTGCTTTTCATCGACAGCATGAGGGATGGTGGATCTAAGGTACAGCACACAAAATATTTTTTTTAAAGCTAACACCTATGTCGCTCTTTAAATGTTTGAAAACATATTCAGAGTTATTCTGCCATTATTTCATAAGGTATTCCCAATTTTTCTACCTGCAGTCTACTTCTCATTTTTTTTGTGTACTTTTAGTTGGATATTTCATTCCCTCCCAATGGCTTCAACCTCCATACAAATTATCTTTAAATCTGAACCTCACTCTTATTTCCACATACCTACCAACATCTCATTTATTAATTCATCCAAGCATCTATTCCATATCTATTATGTGCCAGGATCTATGATTGATGGTGACACAAAATTCA